ACCCCCCCCCCCCCCCCCCCCCCCCCCCCCCCCCCGCCCCCCCCCCCCCCCCCCCCCGCCCCCCCCCCCCCCCCCCCCCCCCCCCCCCCAGGAAAAACCAACCAGGTTGTCACAGCAGGCGGTATCCCGTCCCACGCAGACGACTTCGGAACCAAATCAGCGGGTGCTCTCCAAGACGCGTCATCATCCGGGGGAAGAACTCACATGCGCCAACACAGCATTGCTCGTGCTCGTCCGGGTTGAAGCAGCCGATCGTGTCGCAGATTACGTTGCCCTCGCCGAAGCACTCGGCGCACGTATCGTGGATGGAGCAGGTTCCCCCGTCCTGGCGGCCGAGGAGATCACCCACAGCGCCTAGCCCTGGACCCGTTCGTAGCTTCTGCCACTGGGCAGCGGCTATGCTTGCGGCTAGGACGAAGGCGAGGTTGGAGAGGCGCATTATAGAGGGCGTGAGTGGGTGGCTTGGGCTTGGTGGCGGCTTATGTGCGGAGAGAAAAAGCTTCAATGGACGACCAGAGTCAACTTTCGACAAAGGTAAATAAACTGCTCCCCTAATTTTGGGTTCGGAAATTTGGTCAGAGCTAATGGGTTCTTGGTGCGGAAATAGAGCGTAAGCAACGGCGAGAAGTTATGCCCGATCGACATGGGTTGGAGCTGAGGATGCGCCGGTTTGCCGAGAAGACTGATTTGCTTGATTGATAGGAGTGGGACCGATGGCTGAGGTAGTTTACTCTTAGGCAATTTTAATTAGAACTTGAGCATTTATGTTGGGTTTTCCTTGTGGTACAGTAAAGGTAGAAATATGCCTGAACTGGTTGGTCTATTGAAGCTGCCCTTCATTACCGGCCTCCCAAGAAACCTAACTCACAAGTACTTGAGAATCACTCATCCTGAACCTGTCCTAAATTAGCCAGCCAATATTCTGGTCTTTATCGACGGGGGGGGGGGGGGGGGGGGGGGGGGGGGGGGGGGGGGGGGGGGCCGGGCGGGGGGGGGGGGGGGGGGGGGGGGGGGGGGGGGGCGT